AATTTGGTGGAGTACCTCAAAGTTTGATGCAAAAACGCATGATCGCACCGGCTCGCCTGGTGCGTTACAGCCTGGTTTTTTTTAAATTACTGTTCGGTCTTCCAATGGGCGCAAATTACAGTTCTAGATACCTAGAGGAGGAATACGGTACTACAATTTTTGCGAATCGAATCCGAACCAAGAACCTAGTGCATATTGCGTGGCCGAGCCGAGTCGAACCAAGTTTTAGTAGTTGCCGATGTTGCGGTGATTGTTTTAGATGCCGTCGGCATCGATTCGGAAGAAAGTATGCGGCTTAATACGGACAACATTCACGCAAATGCCCACGGCTGCTGACGATAAGGGCGGTGAGGAGAGTGATGGATTGCTGGGCCGCAGTGATGCTGCGCTGGACAAATTCACGGCGCGAATCGGAAGCGCCAACGATGCGGGCGTTTGCTCGCCAGGCACCCCTACCTCAAGCAACTCGTTCATTGCGCAATGCATCCGCAATAACAGGTACGATGTTTCGATTAGATCTTTCACATACGCTGTGCAGCATTGGCGCAGTGGGATAGCACTGTTATCGTGCAGTAGGTCGGAGTTTCGATTCCGCCACTGGGACAACCAGTCCCTCTATGATTCGTTTCGATGGTAATCTGATTATCGCATGATTGTAGCATGAAAGTAATATGAAGAGCGTAGAAAAGAAGGCAACAATAGAGCGAACTATGTAATGCAAGATGTAGAAATATTGCTGGTACAGGAAAAATAAGTACGAGAGAGTTAAGACGTTTCGGTCCATGAAGTCATATACGTATTAGATTGGTACTGTGACATATGCGGGGGAGTCAAACTTGTCATTTGCTTACTTATCAGAAACTCTGAAAAGAGAGCGCCATCAACAGCTTTGCTAGCGAGTGGTTGCTGTTGGCATTTACTGCCACTCGGGCTACTTCCCTAGTACATCCATTTCTCGTTGTGAGCGTAATACGGAAGGCTTTTTAACTTTTTATTTTAACAGCACCATTCACATTAATAGCGACGTGTACCAAAGCAGTCAGTTCCGCTCAGCTAACGTTTGCTTCCCAAGGATTTCAGTTGTACTTTTGGTCTGTGCAAAAACAGTTGAAATGTTGTCTGTTTCCTAAGTTGCGGGATTTCCCATTGAAAATTTCACGCAGCAGCACGTGAAAGCTGAATTTAAAATCTCGAAGGGTGAATATCCTTTCGGAATTTTAACGTCCTAATTTTCTGGCTTTCGAGTAATTTTTGCGACAAAACTTTCACTCCGTCGTATGTGAGGCCTCGGCATATTTAAGAACTGAATTTGAATTTGTGAAGCCTCTGCTTAAACAAAGAAATAGCAACGCGCACCAGACTAGCCGGTGCGATCATGCGTTTTGTGCAGGTAATTGTAATAAATAGCAACGCGCACCAGACTAGCCGGTGCGATCATGCGTCTTTGTGCAGTTCAACCCATCGAACGATTGCCTGTTAATGATTTTCACTTCCTTGTATTTTAGTCTATGCAAAAATAGTTCTACCATAACGATATTTGCCTGTTAATGATTTTCACTGCTTTGTACTTTAGTCTATGCAAAAATAGTTCAAACATTGAAAACCAGACGTAATGATTTTTACTTCCTTGTACTTTAGTCTATGCAAAAATAGTTCAAACATTGAAAAACAGTTAAGAAAATGATTTTCACTGCTTTGTACTTTAGTCTATGCAAAAATAGTTCAAACATTGAAAAACAGTTAAAGATTTCACTTCCTTGTACTTTAGTCTATGCAAAAATAGTTCAAACATTGAAAAACAGTTAAAAACTTTTCACTGCTTTGTACTTTAGTCTATGCAAAAATAGTTCAAACATTGAAAAATAGTTAAAAATTTCATGCACCAGTTCACTGCTTTGTGCTTTAGTCTATGCAAAAATAGTTCAAACATTGGAAAACAGTTAAAAATTTCAACAGACTAGCCGGTGCGATAATGCGTTTTGTGCAATTCGGCCCATCGAACGATTGCCTATTAATGATTTTCATGCTTTGTACTTTAGTCTATGCAAAAATAGTTCAAACATTGGAAAATAGTTAAAAATTTCACACACCAGTGCTTTGTACTTTAGTCTATGCAAAAATAGTTCAAACATTGGAAAACAGTTAAAAATTTCACGCACGAGCGCATGAAAGCTGAATTCGAAACCTTGAAGGGTGAATATCTCTCTGTGATTCCCGAGTTAATAGTTCACCCGCCAAAATTTTTCACGAGGCCGTAAGTGATACTAAAGAGCGCGGGAAAGCCGAATTTGAATGGGCAAGGTTGAGCGTGGGCAGGGGGTTATTACCTTGAAATTTCAGCCTCCTAGACTCCGTGGTTCCTATCGCGACCCTAATGCTAGTT